ATACAAAGCTCCTAGGGCCCTTGATGTTACAACCCATTGCCCAAGAAGAAGGGGAGAGTAGCAGGAGTTTATGCTCCTTTCCTCTGCGTTCCTAGCATTTAATTAATTGCAGAGAGCTGCAGCCAAAAAAGCCCTGCGCAGTATGCTTGCTGAAGTAAGCAAAGCTTCTTTGTAAAAATTGTGCCTGCCAGGCTATTTTTTAATACCAGCTGCCACCCTCCAGCTGAGGAAAAGCAAAATCATGGCTAGATTAGTTTAGACCACAAACTCCTCAGGGCAGAGAATTGCATCACTGAGCTTACTGCAGATGAATGCCTCCTACCCCTTGCTGTCCTTTGAACTTTCTGCCAGAGCAGAAGAACTTCAGTTTCCTGGCTCTTTTTTCCAGCCTATCCCTTAACACCACTATTGCTAAAAAAAGAACTTGTCATCAGAGTTATTCACACCTACTGCTTTCCTCCACACTTGCAGCTCCTCTTGATTGTGGGCACTTCAACACTTCTGGTCACCGTGTCTTCATATGGTACTATGAATGTACATCCACAATGCCATAAGAACACAAAGAGCAGTCATCACTGGGAGCAAGCAGTAGTAGCACAGAAAGGAAACAGGATTATAACAGTAAGAATGGGCTACTCAACAAGACTTGGCATGGCTGATGAGATCTATTGCTCACAGAGCCTTCATGCACCCATCCATTTAGCTGAGGCCCATACTATTAATTCACGAAAGGAAATTCCTTCCCCGCCCCTCTCCAGCTGTCAACATCCACTGTCAGTTTAGCACACTGGAAGAGCACATGATTTTCATGCAACCATCCCAGGTTTAATCAGATGGAGCTATTCAGAAGGTGGCTGAGTAGAATGTACTCATTGCCCTAATAATCCCTTCAGGAATATCTAATTCAGCTGTAAACAGATCCCGAACTGAATCAGATGTGTTCATATCTGTGTTCCTGTAAAAAGCTGCTTCTGTTCACTTTCCTTCAGTCTACATGGCAAGCGGCACTTAAGTGAAGTATAAATTGTTTGCTAATTAGTTGTGTGTGCATATGGAATGTTACAGAAAAGGCTCAGGTCGCTGCCCTGAGGCGCTGGCTGTTAAAAATCTGACACAAAACAGAAGGAAGTAGAGGTAGGAGTAAACAGGCAGAGAATGTGCAACTCAGTCACATATGTTTAGGCTTGATTATGGGCCTAGTTACCTGTAGGCCCACCTTCCCCAACTTGGTGCCCTCCAAATGTTTTGGGAATGCTGGCTGGAGCTGACTGGGACGGACCAGCACCAGGTTGGGGGAGGCTGCTGCTGAAGTAAGCGAAGAGAGCTGGGATCACACAGGTGTTCTGGGAGACTGTTCTAAGCAGCAATGGAGGAAAGGCAAAGTGGTTCCTCCCCAATTCCCTCATTCCATAATGGCAGTAAGAAGTCCTTCTGGCCTGCTCTGGGTGGATATACTCATATACAAAAGGTTAACACTACTGCTCCTTCAGTTGCAGACCTTGCTTTATCTTACATCTCCATTTCTGCTTACACCTAAAGCTGAGGTAAAATGAAACACAGATTAAGAGATGTGTAATCCTTTAATACAGTACAAACCTCTACTGTACAGTACTGCCCTTTGGCTGCTGCTCCTGCTCCTGTAGAGTTCATGAATACAGGAGCAGAGCAGAGCTACTCAGAGAACCAAAGGCTATTTTTACTATCATTTTGGGTGTTCCACTCATCCACTCGCATGAATCCTACAATAAACGTATTTGAATGACATTCTTAAAGTTGAATGTATGTATGTGTGTATTTCCTGCTTTTTACTGATAAAATAAGAACAGCTAAAAACTTTTTGAAAAGAACAATAATTAAAAACAATTAAACATATAATCAAAACTATATACAGTATAAACAGAGCAGATCTATTAAAAACTTACAGATGAAAAAAACATTCCCATGAGTGCTTCCATTAAAAGAAAGAAGATGTGGGAATTGTCTTTATGACTGCAGGAGTGGTCTTGCTGGGAATAAGGACCTGGACGTGAGGGGTGCGGAAGATGTCCAAGCCTGACTTCTCAGCCATTTTGGAAACGTGGTGCTGGAAACAGGGAAGGATCTATCAGCCACCGCTGCCGCTGCTGTTTAAACTACTAGACAGATAAAACAGACATACTATATATCATGCCTCCTTTTACTCTTGGAGAGGCCCCCATCCGAACCTATTCTAAGCGGCAGATTCCCTGCTCTGGAACTTGGACCGTCAAAACAGGGCGCCTCTGAGCAACTGCAGAGTTCATTTCTCTCATCGCTGCCGAGGAAGCGGGAAAAAGCTGGTCCCAATCCCACCCCCGACGACCCCACTCCCTTGAAGGTCAGTCTGGGGCTCTGGGTCACAGGGTGCGGCTCGGCCCACGATCCGCCGCACAGTCGCATCCAAGAGATGGCGCAAAGCATCTCGCCGAGATGGAAGACGGAGGTCTCCAGGACCCCGCCCGGCCCCGGCTTCCTCCACCAACCGAGCGCCTGGATCTAAATGAAATCCCGTCAGCCCCGGCCTCACGCACAGCCCCTGTCGGCGGGGAGGGCCTGGAGGTGGAGCCCGGGGCAGGACGCCTGGGGAGGCGGCGGGGCGGCAGCAGCCGCGTGGCCCGGCTTGGCAAGAGCGCAGGCTGCGGTGCCTGGCTGTGGCCATAGGAACCGGCGCAGCGCCAAACAAAGCTGGGTCCTCCTCCCTCGCTCCCTCCTCCCGCCCCGCCACACGCGCACCCTGGGGGCATAAGGAGGGAGGAGACAGCGCAGCTCCGGTCTCTGCAGCGGCGCTGGCGACTCCGTCCCGCCGCCGGCACTATGCGCTGGGCGCTGCCGCGGGAGCCGCCGGTGCGCTAAGAGGAGGAGGAGGAGGAGCAGGCGCGGCGGCGGCCGGAGGAGGTACTCGCGTCCGGGAGTCGTCGGATCTGCCCCGGGAGTGAAGGAGCAGGTGCGGCGGCAGGAGCGGCAGTACAAGCCTCAGCGACCGAGGCTGCATTGCTGTGGATGGCAAGGAGGGCGCCGGGGAAGGGGGAAGATCGTTCATAGACGACTGAAGCTGGAGGGCACGGCAGCCCGCCCCCACCCCTTCCCCGGCGGACACGGCGGCTTGTTCTCCGATTGCGCAGAAGCCTGAATACACACACACACGCACACGCTCGGTTTTTTCTATTCGTGTGAAATTCCAGAAAGGATCTGGCACCGATTTGGATTTGCATTTCTTGCTCCTGTTATTTCACATTGCCTGGCATCTGCCTGCACCACCTTATCCCGGTCTGCTCACCTTACCCTCTTCACAACCCTGCTCGGGACTGGAAAGCGCTCTGCTTTTGACATATCTTAGAGAGTACCCGTTATTGTTCTCCACATGCTTTAATTTGGAGTTGCACAGAATTTACCTTGATGCATCCGGGTCGCATAGAAGTTTCTACGCGGATCCGGCTTGCGCAACGCTTAAAGCTGCTTTAAGGAGCACCTATTTGAACTGCGTACAAGAAGTACTGTATTCTGGCCTGAGCCGAATAGCACATTGAATTCGGGTATTGTAGGTATTGTAACATTGCACCGTGGCCTCCAGCTTCGTTTGCACAGGATTGCACAACCGTCGGTCCACTGATTTCCTTAACGCGCTCCTTACCTCTTCTGATCCGGATTGCAAAGCAATCCCTGCACTGCTCTGGATTGCACGTTGCTTGCACAAATCCGGATTATCTTGCTGCTGAGAGTGTTTTATTCACAAAGATATAAATATGTTGCCGGGATCTATCCAGATCTCTGGGGAGACTTTATCAAGTGCCGAGATTCGGGATATCTGTGAGAGCCTGAGAGAGAACTCCATCAAACTGCTTTCGCTCCGGGGCTGTCAGCTTTCCGACAGAGATTTTGGCCGCATCTGCAGGGGGGTCGCAGAATCTCACTCCTTAGCTCAACTTAATCTTAACTTGGGGATTGTCTCCAATATCAATCGGGTCAAGCAACTGGCTGAAGCCCTGAAGACCAACCGCTCTGTCCAGTCTTTGTTGTGAGTAGCCCTCTACAGTGGCGTAGCGTGGGGGGTGCAGGGGGGGGCCGGCCGCACCGGGCGCGACATCTGGGGTTAGGGCAAATCCACAGGTTAGGGGGCGCAAATCCACGGGTTAGGGGGCGCAAATTACTTGCCTTGCCCTGGGTGCTGACAACCCACGCTACGCCACTGGCCCTCTACTTAGTAGGACTTGAGGAAAGGTGCCCAGTTCTGCTGGCAGAAGTCTTGCAGTCCAATTCATATCCATGTTTACTCAAAAGTAAGCCCCATTATGTTAAATAGATCTTACTCACAGGTAAGTGTGCATAGGATTGCAGCTGTTGCTGGTGGGCTTCCAAAATTGTTTAGTGTATCTGTGTAGTCCAAACCCCACTTACTGGGAGCAAATCCCATTGACTTCTGAGTAGACATGGATATACTGTATAATTGAGCTGTTAGTCCTTAACACCTTTTAACTAACCTTTTGCTCTAGGTGCAAAGTTACCCACACCAAAAGGGCTTTGAGGGCAAGGTTGTGATTCTAATCCAAAATGGTGATAGCATTCTAGATTATTTCAAACCCAACACAGATTAATCTTCTTAAACAGAAACAGTGAAACTTGGATTTGGGCAACATTTTATTACCCTAAGCCAAATTCCAGTATATCTCAGGTCAGCAAACCCAGGACAAAGCTATGTATGTTGTGTCAGAAGGAAGAGTAGGACACTGAAACGCAGGTGGGGGTGGAGTGGGGAGGAAACCATAGTGATAAAGGAATCTGCTACCATGACAGAAAAGGGAGCGGGGAGTAAGGAAGCAGATTCAAAGACTCCATTAATGACTCTTCGCCTTTTAGAGTTGTTGGTATAAATCGCCCCTGTTAACTTATTTACTGCATTTCTTTGTCATAGTTTGAGCTGGGTGAAGTCAACTGCAACTCTTGAGGAACAATAGTTTAATTCCTAACCATTTATTCTTGCACAGCCTCCACGGAAGTCCCCTGACAGACGCTGGTCTGGCTCTTTTGAACCCAGCACTCTCCATCCATCCCTCACTAGTGGCCTTGGACTTAGGGGACTGCATGCTGGGTGATGAAGGTATTAACTTGATCTGTGGACTGCTCCCTCCTGATGGGGCCAAGTCAGGTAAGCAAAACTGGATGTGTGGGGTTCTTGTATATCTCTGGAGCTCATAATGGACTTCAGATCTTTGTTCATACAGTTCTACAGTTGGAACGGTTGTGGAGGTAATGTCCACTCCCTGTTCAGTACAGGATCTGCAATACAGGATGCAACCACAGCATCCCTGACAGATGGCTGTCCAGCCTCCGCTTAAATGTTTCCCAAGGCAGCCTGTTCTTTGTTTAACAGCTCTAACCATTGGGGAAGTTTCTGTTCTTAACTTCTAGCCAAAATTTGCTCTCCTGCAATTTCTGCGTGCTGGTTCCGGAACAACAGAGAACAAGTCTGCTCTGCCTTCATGACATCCCTTTAAACTATTCTTTTTCTTCTTCAGAGAGTAAAGAGACCCCCTGACAAATTGTAGCACTGAGTTTTCAGCAAAGTGAAATTATAGTGAAATTTACTCTGTCGGCTAAGGATCTGTGGCTTGCTAAGAATAAGTGGATTCTCATTCTGGGAGAGAAGGTATTCAGAATAGAAGTAATTATACTTTGCCCTGTTATAGAACTAAACGGTGTCATTTCCCACTAAGTCAGTGTGAGGATCTGTAGGCTTTGCAGTTGTTTTGCATTTTATTTTTTGCAACCAAAACTTGATGCTGTCACATTAAAAGCCGTTTTCCTTTTTCTGAAATGCCCTATTGCTGTGAATTTTATCTGTTGGTGCTACTCAGAAATATCACCAAAGGTTATGTTTTGCTCAAGGAATTATCTTGAGCTAAATCAAAAGTCTTTTGAGAAAAGAGTATTGGAGACTGGCGGACTGGAAAATAATACTTTGACCGAGTTTTCAGCCGTCCTCTTCCACTCTACTGCATTAAGCATGCCACTAGGCTTGCAAGAGCAAAATCCGGAGAAAGAAAAATAAGGGCACTGCAGATCTGTTGTGTGTATTCTGGTAAATTTGGAACCTTGGTGTTTAACATGGTCCATTAGGAAGAAACATTGCCCCTCTGCCTTTTTGCATGAGATCATCCTTTCACCTTAAAGAGCTCTTCTTTCTTGCTTCTTCTTGTCCTTCTTGTGATAGCACTTTGTCCTCGTTTGGGGCTTGCTGTTTCTGTGGTTGGGGTGAAAGGGAAAGGGATCAGATACTGTAGGCCAGGGATCAAGAACTTGTTGTCCTCCATATGTTCTTGGATTAAAGTTCGCCTCATCTGTGACCATTGGCCATGCGGGCTAGGATTGATGGGGCTTGAAAGTCCACATCTGGAGGGATTTATTTTTGTTAACCTGCCCTGGAATCTGCTGGTGAAGGGCGGGTAATATATTTTATAATAAAAATAATATAGTTTCCCATCTCTAGCATAGACAAATGAGGGGATCGTTCAGACAGTATCATACCAGAAAATTAACTCTGTAAGTATGATGCAAATTATTCTGCTTGTATCCTGTTAGCATGTGAAAATTAGCACATCATGTTCTCCCAATGCTTATCTTGGGAACAGTTTCCACAACATTTATGTCTACAGTTATCAGACTCAGCTGAAGTGTGTGTTCACATGGGCAAATGTAGCATGTCATCAAATGCTGCCAAAGTTGCAGGACATTCAGAAACATTTAATTGTTATTTATTATTATTTGTGTCCCACCCTTTCTCCCAAAGGAGCCGAGAGTGGCAAACATCAAAATGTCAAATTCTAATCAAGCATTCACAAGATGACTTGGTACAGATTAGTTTTCCTTTCCCTTATTTTATTTTTATCAGCCTTGGAGATGTGGGTGCTGTTGGAGTTTCCTTTGCCAGCCACCAAAATGACTTGAGCCACTTCTGATCCAAGAAGCCTTTAAAAGGGTGGAGGACAACAATTTAACTACACGTTTAATGTCTCTGAATACAACTTGTGTTAACATACAACTGTCCCACAGTTTGTTCTTAAGAAATCTGTCCTTTTAACCATCCTGATAGTTTGCCCAAAAGAGTGGTTAAAATGTGTTCAGGGGTTATTAATAGTAGTAGTACAGTGGTACCTCTGGTTGCGAATGGGATCCATTCCGGAGGCCTGTTCACAACCTGAAAAGAGCGCAACCTGAAGCGCCGTATCTATGCAGGTGTGCGGTGCGATTTGGCACATGTGCGCATGCGTGAGCAGCGAAACCTGGAAGTAACCCTTTCCGGTACTTCCGGGTCGTTGCGGGACACAACCTGAAAAGGCGTAACCTGAAGCGTCCATAACATGAAGTATGACTGTAGTAGTAGTATTTTAAAGCAAATGTAAAATGCGGAGTGGAGATTTTAATCCACACCCATGATTCTGCAGGGAGAAGGAAAGGGCAGTATATATGCAGTTGATTATAATCCTGAATACAAGAGTGAGATCTTGTGACTGTGTAAACTCACTTGGCTTCCCTTAGGTTTGAAGGAGTTGACTCTCAGTGCTAACCCTGGCATCACAGCCAAAGGATGGGGGCGCCTGGCTATTGCAGTGGCTCATAGTTCCCAGGTGCGAGTGTTGAACTTGGACTACAACCCACTGGGTGAGAGGAGCATGAATATCGTGCATGACTTATGTCTCTCTCTCTCTCTCTCTCTCTCTCTCTCTCTCTCTCTCTCTTCTCTCTTCTCTCTCTCTCTCTCTCTCTCTCTCTCTCTTAAACACATGGGGATGTTGCTTGGTTAATGATAGTTAAAGAGCCCACATCTAGGACAAGTCCAATCACAATCCAACTCGGCCCTTCCTCTTCATTATTTTATGTATTTTTTTAATTTCTCAAGGCGGCAAACAGAGCAGATAACAAAACACTGTGAAACAAGTATTCATTCCAATATTGCACATGCTCTCTGAAAATATAACACAAAGCTAATTTAACGTTTCCAAAACCACCATCATACTAAGCTACCAGAAAATAAATTAATCAGTCAAAAGCTATGCTAGCAACTGCAGTATTATGACGGGGCCCAGCACATCTTACTTGGCAAAGCATTCCACATAGTTGGGTGCCAAAGCAGAGAAGGTCTGACCCTGCTTTAAAGCTCTTGAGGTTGAGGCAGCTCCTAGGTCCAAAGCTGTTTAAGGGTTTTTAAAACCAACCCTAGCACCTTGAATCGAGCTTGAAACTAATCAACAGTGATTAGTTTCTGATAACAGAAAACCAATATGATGGAATCAAATCACCAAACACCTGTCAAGCGGATTTAGGGCTGGGTCAGAAGTGCACACACTGGGTGCTGAGCTGAGGAGGGGTGCCCTCTCAAAGGCATTGGGCTTTGGGAAGGAGGCGTGAGGGCTCTGAGAGAGTCCTAGAGTCTTATTCCCCCCCCTTTCCTAAAGCCTCGTTAGCACTTTCCCAGCTTTGGGAAGGAGGTAGGAGGGTTCTAGAACTTGCCAGAGCCCCCACACCTCCTTCTCAAAGCTGGGCTCCTCCTCACTTGCCTTTGGGAAGGCACATGAGGGTGGCGGAGGTGCCTTACACAAGCTGCCATAATAGTAGTACCTAAGTTCACCATTCCACCTGTCAGCACTCTGGCTGCAGTATTTTGCCCTGTTTGCAGGTTCTGGACAGTTTTGAAGGCCTGTCTCACATAGAGTGCCTTACAATGGTCCAGTTTGGAAGTTGCTGAATGACTGGCAGAGGGCCATTGTGTCTTCATGGTTAGGTAACATAGGAAGTTGCTTTTTACTGAGTCAGACCACGGTCCATCTCGATCTGCACCAAGAATAAGAAATCTGCCACCCTCCAGAAGTTGGACTTCCACTCCCATCAGCTCACCCAACATGGCTGGTGGTAAGGGATTATGGGAGTTGTAGTCCAGAGGCACCTGAAGGGTCAGAGAGGTGCTCCATCCACCTGGTCTGTACTTAGGTAGCAGCTCTCCAGGATTTCAGACAGGAATGTTTCCTATCTGTGTGATCTGCCCTTGAGCTACAACCCCTTTCTTTTCCTGATAGAGTTTGCCTATGTGTGTAAACTAGTGTCCCCTTTGTCTGGAATAGTTACCACCTTTGCACCTTTTTTTAAAAAAAGGCCTAGGCAATAGGCTATTAAAGAACCTGGCTATTCAAAATGCGAAATGAAACTGGCAATTGCCAGCCTGGGCCTGGGAGAATATAAGATGGCGGCCTACCATATTCTGCAAGGGATGAGACTTGCTTCCAAGCTGAGGAGGCCTGAAGAGCAGCCCACCATACAAGCCTTAGGTTATGTGCACTTCCTCTTCCTGTGTACAGTGTGGCAGTACCCGTCCTCCGAATGTTATCTTTGCAGCCCCATGTAGGCTGCTGCCACTGGGCTTGGGAGTCAGACCATGCTTCTTCCCCCGCCCTTGCCTCCTCATCTTCTTCCAAATACAGCAAAGAGGAGAGGAGCCCCAGCAGTGGTTACCATGGAAACCGCCTCTCTCCCTCTCTCTGCAGCTGCGCTGCCTGAGCAGAATTGGCAGCTGGTGAGAGAAGAGACTAGACCAGGCAGCTCTCGCCTCTCCCCATCCCTCCTGCCTCAGGGAAGCAAATGTGAGACGCTCCTCAGCACACCCCACCTAATCCTGCCCTTTCAAAACTGGGCGAGGCCTTTCTTCTTTCTGCCTTTCCGCTGTCAGGGCTTACCCTGCAAAATGAGAGGTGCTCGGGCCTTAAAGCCTGGCAGAAGGCGGCTTCTCTGACCCAGAAGCAATACCTTCTAATTAAGACTAAGCTCGCCTAGAGGTCATGTGCTGCTGCCCCAGGTGCAGAGGTATCGTTTTTTTCCCCTTAGCCAATTTAAGAAGAGAAAGAAAAGCAGCAGCAGCAGCAGCAAAACAGATGCATAAAGTTATCACTCTCCCCCAGTGTCTTGTGCCTTTAACAGGCAGACATTAAACAGGTGCAGCACCTTTGAGTGAGATTAGAAAACTGCACCTGTTGAATGCATCTGTGGCGTTATTAAACAAGTGCCATGGGGGGGAGGTGCTGGTAGAGTTGAGGTTGTTGTACTGCCCAGCAAATTCTGCCACTCCTGGAATGGCTGCATGCAACATGGCCTCTGTGAGGTCTTCTAACATCTCTGGACTTTCTACCATCTAGGTGACCAAATAGCAGGAATGCTGGCAGTTTCTGTGGCATCCAGCCGCACCCTCGAGGTTTTGGACTTGGAAGGAACGGGACTCACCAACCAATCAGCCTTGGTAAGGAGAACATGGTCCTTTGCCGCCTTCCATTCGCCTTCTAAGTCATGGAAGTGGGCAGACTAGCGTCGTCTGCTTTTATCCACCCCAAATGCACTGTCTCAGGGGCATTTTGCCAGGAAGACTGGAGCCCCTTTGCATTCTCCTTCCTTGGTTCTCTTGCCTCTAAGCCGAGTTGCTTACCAACCAGCCTCTCGACTCTTGTTCTGTTCAGATCCTGCTGGATATGGTGGAAAACTACCCGACGGCTTTGCGGACGCTGATCCTGGCAGAGAACAACATCAGCCCTGAACTTCAGCAGCAGATCTCTGACCTTCTTTCTGAGGGTGAGGAAGACGATGAGACAGAGACTCGTGAAGTCATGGCAAGAGAGAAGAACAACTGGATCTGCCAGAGCAGTAAGTCTGCTGGGGCCTCCACTAAGGAGGAGGAGGAAGATGGGGGGGGGGGGAGAAGCTGGAAGGGGGAGGCTGACCATGGGAAACCATGACATTCAGGCCCTCAAAAAATTGAAGGTCACAGAATTTCAGTACTGGTATTTAAGAGCATCCTAGAATCATAGGGTTGGAAGGGACCATGAGAGTCATCTAGTCCAACCCCCCTCAGTGCAGGAATCTTTTGCCCAATGTGAGTCTCGAATCCACAACCCTGAGATTAAGAGTCTCATGCTCTACCAGCTGAGCTAAAATGCACACATAGAAGCATGTACTTTTGTCCCAGTACTGATATTAGAATAGAGCTTAGTTAGGGATGAAAACACTTTCCTACACTATGAAATCTAGTCCTTAGCACAAATGCACTGGCAGCACTAAACTGAAATGCAATCCAGCCTCTGATGATTTTCTGAAATTAACCCCACAAATTGGCTTATGAAGGGGTGGTAATCTCCTGTTTGAACAAAAACCAAAGTCTGGTATCCCATTTGGGTTCTTTTGTGTAATTATAGGGCAAAGCCTTAAATGGAAACCCGAAGATTTTGTAAAGAACATCTCATGTGCCTATCAAGCAGAGAGCTACCGTTGTCTCCAGGAGTTAAAGGAAAATACTAGAGCAAAAGGAAAAGGAGACTAGAGCAAGTTAACTGTGGATGCCTAAGCACAGAGTTTAATCCAGCTTCACATTAGCAGGTCTCCTTTTTAACTGTGTATTTTGGAAAAGGAAACTTTGTTGTGTGCAGACTTCAAACCAAGAGGCAGCACATCCTAATGGGTGTTCTGAGCCCAATAATTACAACAGAGGAGCTGCCTGCTTGTGTAGCCCTTACCTTCCCCAACCTGGTGCTTATTTGAACTTTCGTCATCCTTGACCATTGACCAAACTGGCAGATGCTGGAAACAGGGAGGGCACTAGGTTAAGGAAGACTAGTGGAACCACACAGCCTGTCTGCAGAAACAGCACATAGGAATCCATGGAGTTGGGGAGGAAGGGAGGGGATGGGACTCTATGTGGTCATGGTCTGCAGCTACAATTGCAATCCCACTTATCTGGGAGTAAGCCCCACTGAATTCAGTAAGAGACACTTCTGCATAGACATGGTTAGTATTGTGCTATACACTTTAGGCATAAAATGAATCTATTTAATTGCCAAGTGCTTCACTTCAGGAGTACTCAAGCTGGTGCTTTCTTGAATTGTACTTAACGTTTCATCTTCTCCTTTATAATAGTCTTCCTAGCCCTGTGCTTAGGATCCAGCTACAAATCACGGTTGTCCCCCTCCATATCCTGTTCATCGGCTAAAACCACCTTTTCTCCATTTCGCAGATTCTAGTTCCCAGATGGTCTTGGTAACTTCGGGCCTTGGAGAAAGTCTTCTAGCAGAAACAGAGATGTGAAAAGGAAACTCCCATTGCCTCTGATGAAAACATCACTTCCATGTATGTGGAAAGACTGTGTTTATTTCAAAAAAAAAAGTGCATTCACACATATATCATGTGTGAATGTGTACTGTGCTTGTGTGTTTGCAAGTGAGTGTATGCACTAGGCAAACAGATGGGTGTGAAAGCCTAATGTCTATGTGTAATTGCTGCGCCTGCCCTGAGTGCAGATCCACACACTGTGTCTTACTGAAGTCACTTTTAGCTCCACACTGGGACGTGACCCAAGTTAATCTCGATGTCTGTGTCACACAACTTGTCAGTTGCTTGTGATTGTCCAGTTGCTGTATTCTTAGGTCGCACCATCCATTCTTGACTAATCTTTGCGGGAGGCTGTATTTATTCAGATGTGTATATTTATGTATAACAGATACTTTTTATTGCTTGTACCTATGTCTTAAGTAGAATTTTATATAAAGTTCACAGAAATGGCCCAGTTGTGGCCATGAGGCTCTTTCCTTTCTAACTACACATCAGCAAGGCAGCTTCACTAAGGGAAATAATGCAACCTTATGTTGTTGTTTAGTCGTGTCCGACTCTTCGAGACCCCAAAGACCAGAGCACGCCAGGCACTCCTGTCTTCGGTGCATTACTATAAGGTTGCATTGTGACAAAGACAATGCAACCTTATAGTAATGCATTTTTTGTTGCGCTGCCTCTAATGGGCTGAGAAAGCAACTTAGCACTTGATAATTAAGTCTAAAACCCCCCACAAAGAGAAAGCTGATTTCTGTTAGCAGAAGGCTCCTGTGAACCAGGCCTTATATAGCCTAAATCAAGGGTAGGCAACCTAAGGTCCATGGGCCGGATGCGGCCCAATCGCCTTCTCAATCTGGCCCGTTGACAGTCCGGGAATCAGTGTGTTTTTACATGAGTAGAATGTGTCCTTTTATTTAAAATGCATCTCTGGGTTATTTGTGGGGCATAGGAATTCGTTCATTCCCCCCCCCCAAAAAAATAGATATAGCCCAGCCTACCACAAGGTCTGAGGGACAGTAGACCAGCCCACGGCTGAAAAAGGTTGCTGACCCCTGGCCTAAATAATTATTTTCCCCAAATAAGTTGGAGTGAATGCCCTTGAGTTCCATAACGACTGTACTAAGACACTCAAGGCAGTCACAGGTGCTACCAGAAATACCCAGGAGAAAAAAATCCTATAGGGACAGAGTGCACACTTTGGGTGCTCTTGAAGTACCCCTAATTTCAGAAGGCTGCATTACCTTGAAGGTCATAATTTGGGTCATATGCCAGCAGTGGAGGTGGCCACATCCCTATCAATCTATGCACACAAGCACCTCTCATTCAACCCTCTCAGAGGACTAAATTGGTCTGGTTGTGATGTTTATACCGCTCTGCAATCCAGTGACACGCAAGATCTAAGGCAGTGAGCATTGGCTCTGCTGTTGTTCAGAATCTGCTCCATTTTTACATTTGAAGATATGTGTAATTCTAAGCACACAAACCCAACTTCAAGCAAACCCCAAAGTGCTATATGCGGACAACTACTGACCTTGCTTCTTTTTTGTGTAAACAGCCACTTCACTGCGGGTAAACTGTTTTGGAATAGTATGCACAAGGGCTGCAAAATGGGGCAACAGGAAATACCTCCTGTTCTCCTGTTGGGAACTGTGGCCCTCCAGCAATTGTTGACTACTACAGCTCCCACCACCTCCAACCACTGGCCATACTGGCTGGGGCTAATGGTAGCTGCAGTCTAAGAACATCTGGAGAGCCACAAGTTCTCCATCTGTGACGTAAGGCCTCAGCCATGTAAGGCAGTTTGTGGAAATGCGTTTTGTTACAATGGTACCCATTCCTCCTCCTAAGAGTTCACAGCGGCTCTGTTGTTTCCATGCAGGATTCTAGGGACAGCAGGACTCTGTTTTGCTTTGGACTATTTTCCTAGCCCCACACAAACAAAACCAATAAATTATTTTCTCTGTGTCAATCACAAAAGCCAAGAGAACCACCAGGAGGCAGCAGTGCCATGCAGCTTCTAATTAGGATATTGTGGCTGCCACAGACCGCATGATTTATGGGACAGCTACATAAACGGGGGAGAGGGAATAGAGACATTATGTCGTGAAAGTGGACAATTTACTTCCATTTTACAGAGGCAGATGCCTCGTCATATAGCAAGAGGTTGCTTTCTATCCTACAGAGGTCCAAATACAAACCCTACATTAGTAGAACAGTTGCTAAAAGATCCAGAAGCAAATTGGCAGTGTAGACACAGTCATGACAATGGCTTATATTCAACATAGCTCCATCAGTGCCATGTTTTTCCTTGGGAAGGCAAGCTCACCCTCTTCTGCCCTTGTGTATCCCCTAAGCCTGCACAAAAAGACTTGAGGGTGGGGCAGAGTATTGCAAGCGTGGGAAGATATTCACAGCTAGCAGGAGTCCATGTGCTGGCTTCTGCTAGCACAACCAGTTTCACGTGACCCACTGAGAAGACCGATCAAGTCTGGGTGTACCTTTACAAGGAGGGCCGTAGATCATGGACGCAGCACACATTGTGCCTGCAGAAGGGTTCAAGATTCAATCCCATGCATCTCAAATTAAAGCAAGGATTGGGAACCTGGGGCCTTCTCTGCATGTTGCTGAAATTCCAATTCTCATTAGCCCCAGGAAACATGGCCAATAGTAAGGGCTGATGGGAATTTTCATCCTACAGTGTCCAGACCACAGGCTCACCAACCCTGAGTTAAAAGAATGAAATGGAAGACTCTTTGCTTGCAGCCATGCAGAG